AGTAACCGCACAAAGGAAGCCAGGCCTGAAGATTTTGCACCCAACTCTGAGAGATATTACTTCAGACGAGATATGAAGAGAGGTGAGCGTTAAGGCAAAATGATTTAGCTAACTGTTTTAGAGAGGGAGATATCGCATTTTTCCTTCATTTTCTCATTTTCTTATTTTCTAGCTATTCTCGGTGCCATTCCAGAGCTCTCTGCAGACTCGTGCAAGGAGATCAAGGCGAGTGAAGGTGGACAAGCGGTCAGCGGAAAATACTGGCTGAATTTCATCAAACCTGACACTCCTGTGTTGGTTCATTGTGACATGAAAACGAGGGTAGAGTAGGACAGTTAAACAGAATGGACATGCACTAAAAAGTATGTGCCTCGCATAAAAGCTAATGGTCAGCTTTTCTCTTAGGTGCAACTCTCTTTTGTTGTTGGTCGTAAGTCTGACCATTTGTTGAAGGGAACACTTGGAAAAGACTTTTACTATTTCAAAGAAAATTTAGAATTTTTCTTGAGCGTATAAGATTTTTTCCTTGGAAACTAGTTATGAAGCTGCAAGGAGCTTTTCTGTCAGCCCTTCCAGAGCAGATGGCTGACTCTTAATCTAACAAATAAGCGCCTGCGCATTTCCAAACATGGCGGATCTTTTTTATTAATCCTATCTTTTATCTTAGTTATTTTTTTTTTATATCTCAATCATGTACGGCAGTAGATGACAGCAAGAATTTCATATTCATAGGAATCTAAGTTTTTCAATGTAGGATTTAATAAATCTTGACTCGTTCGCATCCTACTAAGTAAGGTGAATGCACTGTTCGCTTTAATTTCCAACACCAAGCAACGATTCAATATGTTATTGGAATGATCTACATAGAAACTCTTGCAGAGCCTGCTCGATAAAGCTGTTTGAAACTCACACCCTTGGGTTTTTTTGATCAACTGTGACTGACTTGATAAAAGTGGATCTGAACAATAATTCGCTTAAAATTGTCCTTCTTTATCAATGTATATTGTCGCTCTAAACGATTTGGATTTTCATTAACAGATTCTGACGAATGTAATGCCTCAGTTAGCGTTTGCGGCTAACTGCAAAAACATTCTGGGATCGTATCGCTGCTCTTGCAGAGCTGGGTTTTCTGGAAATGGACGTAGCTGCAAAGATGGGATCAAAAACGTACATTAATCATTAAGCAATGTCGTTGCAAGGTGTTGTTTCGCTGAGCTTTCTTCAACTATTACTTTATAAGATCTGAAATTGCTTCGCGTGAACAATTTATTCTTCATTTAAATGCAAAAGTTCGGTACAAATGTGATGAAATCTTCGCTTTGCTTTCTTTCGATTCGATATTCTTTAATTCTATCTTGCTGCAAAGAGTTTACTTTGCACGTCAGCGATGAGTCGGGGCTTCCATAATCAACCCTAGACATCTTACACTTTATTTTCCAAGTGTTGACCCTATTCTCAAAAGTGTTTATTTAATGTGTAGCTCTCTCGGCTCATTGTCCAATTGAAGGTGATAAAATACTGGGGAAAAAAATAAATACGTAAAGATAAGGGCCACAGATTTTGCATAGAAGGAAGAAGAAGTAACTAAGCTTTCCTTTTTTAACAGATCTTGACGAATGCAGCGCTTCACCATCATTTTGTCCAATCAATGCCGATTGCGAGAACACCATGGGCTCTTATTGCTGTTCCTGCAGACCTGGATTTCTTGGCAATGCAACAACCTGTTACCGTAAGGATATTTGGATTTTTAACACAGCCAGACTAACTTGTTATTTTCAACGCTTCTATTTCAATTCACATTTTTTGTGGACATTTTCCTCTAAAATTTCACAGATATCATGTTCATAGCCAGAAGCCCGTTACTAAAAAGCACATTTGAGGCGTAAATACTTTTTTCTTTTTAAAGGTACTTTGAATCTCAAAACCGATGGGAGAAGGGGACGCTTCGGCACTATACAGACCTTCACTGTTCCACGGACCACTCGCTATCTCATCAAAGCCTGGGGAGCTCGGGGAGGAACACATTCATACGATTATGGATACCTTCCAGGAACATATTATGGTGGAAAGGGAGCGTTTATAGAAGGCAAGTTCAGACTGAATAATGGAACAGTGTTAAATATTGAGGTGGGACAAAGAGGAGGGGATTCGGTGGAAGTAAAAGGTGGAAATAGCACTAAAAAGACAGCAGCTCAACTAGGAGTGTCCGTGGAAGACCATGCTGGCACTGGAGGAGGGGGAGGAAGTTTTGTTTATACTGCAGATAATGTTTGTTGCTGGCTACCGGAGGAGGAGGGGGTGCATCTGGTGGATATAATGGTGTGGATGGTCAGGCTGGTTCAAATGGCATCGGTAGTGTGGGGAAAGAATCCTCACAAGTTCGAAATGGAGGCACAGGTGGGCAGCCAGGTGAATGCAACAGTAACGGCGGTAACTACCATGGAGGAGTGGGTGCCGGTTGGTTTGGTCAAGGTTGTACCCGACTGGGCACCTCCCATGGGGAAAGAGGTGGATCACGCGCTGAAGGCTGGATCGGAGGTCAAGCCGGAGGTATGAATAGCGGTAATAACGGGGGCCCTCCACCAGGAGCAGTTGGTGGGTTTGGTGGTGGGGGAGGTGGATCAGAGGATAATGGTGCATCAGGCGGAGGTGGTGGGTACTCTGGGGGAGGTAGCGGTACCCATGCGAAACAAGCCGGAGGTGGAGGAGGCTCGTACTGTAATGGCCAAGATTGTTCCGGTTTGACTGGTGGGAACTCGAATGATAATGGCCTTGTGCAAATTATAGAACTTTAGGGCTGATTCCAAAACATTTCTTGAGTATTACAGTTATTTTTCAAAAGCCGAAGCCAACACTTTCTCTTGTTGAAAGAAAAAAGTATTCAAAAGGGACAAATAGGTATAACATTTTGTTAAACGTCACTAATCAGTGTTTTGGAAGTTTATCAAGTTATCTAGGTACCTCATCTAGAATTTTCATAACTCGTTTTCCTTTCAGCGATCTAATACGTGGTAAAGTGACGTCTATTTTCGTTATGTTAGGACGTTTGTCATGAGTACAGATTTATTAAATAACTTAGAGAAAAGTTTTGTCATGCAGGTCAGCTATAAGATATGAAGTAGTAAAAAAATACACAGGGTAAGACATCGCTTATAAGAGGTTTTGTAGTTTATCGATAATCTAAATAGTCCATTTATTGGAGTTTCCATAACTCGTTTGCGAGCATGATAATCATTAAGACTTAAAAAGTGACTTTCGTAGATATTATACCTATATTATTGATATTTCACTCGATAAAGCAATAATAATAAAAAGGGTCTAAGAATATCACTAAATTAGATATTTGGTAGTGTGTTTAAGCCTAATTTTTAGTCAAGTTGTAAATTGTTTAACTCATTTTGAGAATTCCAGTTCATTGTAGTACATGGTATTCAAATTATTTCATAGCCTGGTTCAAACGAGATCATCGTTTCTAACTCCGTGTCTAAACTTGCAATCTAACTGGGCGTGAAAATCTTCAAAACTCAGACTGTCCATTTCGTTTTCTCTTTGAGGATTTCCGCCTCTGTTCACGTCAATATGACGTGTATTATATTCTGTTGCTATTTGCTAATTCGCTTGTTCCGAAATTTCACTTTCAATTAGAGAAAAAAAAAGCTGGAGAGAAGTCCGGTAAATGGTCAAACATGGCACGATTTGGCAGGATAATAACATTAGGCTCGTTGCAATTTTCGTCGCCCAATATCAAACATTTTTATGCCTTAATGCGAAACGATTAACTCTGGGATTTAGTCATTCGAAAAATACCTACGTATCTCTTTCCATAAAAGCAAAAGGAAAAAAAAGCACTTGTAAACATGTATTGAATGTGGTTCGAATGGCATTCTGTGATAAATTAAACGAACTCCTTACGTAAATCAAATTATTTTCATTTTCCTCTATCGTTTCAGGGGAGTTCATTATATTACTTGCACTACTTTCTTGGAAAATTACTAGTGCGATCTGTTGATTAGAAGTCTAATTAAAAAAAGAAAAAAAAGATCGTTTTGCTGTGAAAGGTTTGACATAAATTTTTGATTCGAGATAAGCTCATTAAAGCCATGAAATACCGGCCTCTGTTTGTATGTAAAGAACCTTGACACCTGTTAAACCACTTGTTTCTAAACATCAAAGACTCTGGGATTATAATTGTAATCTACTCCAAGGTAATAGCAAACTGGTGACATGTAATACAAACAATTACTTTCAGGTAGCTTGATTCCCTAAAAAAATTCTAAATTCCCCTAAACAGTTTCCAGGAGGCGTTATCATCTACCTTGGATAGCAATCAAGGTACTTACAAGATATGTAAAGTACCAGGTCAGATATTTTGAAAAGTTTATCTGAATACAGAACAGCTGAAGGTTCGATCGCTACAGTATAAACTATAGCATTTGTTCTTCCTCTGTTTAAGCGTTGAATCCTCTCACCGATATACATTTATCAGGACTAGTTTAAAGAATTTGCGAGTTTCCCACATTTCTTAGGGGAGCATAAATAAAACTTGGCAGGTTTTCAATTAAACAAGGCTGAATCTCAAGGTTCATTTTCCATCCTTATGTCTGTCGGTTTTGATGTTTCGTGGATTTTTCCCTCATTCCACAAACAGTTTTTAGCCAAGATCCAAGAAATACCTATATTCTTAGCATTATAGCATAATCTTGGTCTTTAATTTTAATCGTAATTTATCTTACAGGAAAGGACAAGCCGGTGGTTGTGACGATGCGATTCTTTATTTCAGTGACACTTTGTATCGCGTATGAAATTTTCGCTCAAGAATGCAAAAAGGATGAGCATGCAATTTTTGGTATGATGCTTCGAAGACACACCTTCAAAAAGTTGAAATCGTCGATTGCAGTCGAATGTAATCGAGCGTGTAAGGATGATTTTCGATGTCACAGCTTCAATTACTTAATTACGGAGAAATTATGTGAACTAAACAACCGGACTAAGGAGGCCAGACCAGAGAACTTTGTACCAAATTCGGAGAGATATTATGTCAGGAGTAATAAGAAAAGAGGTGAGTTTCATCGCCCAAAAGGACTTAACAATGAGTGTAAAATTTAAACTTTCTAAACTACTATGGGAGTTGGTTGGTTAAATTTGAGACACTATGGACAAAAGACATGATATTACTCCAAATTTATACTTTCGAAAGCAAATTATTTTCCATGAAAGAAAGTGGATAGCGTTATCCGTAGTTTAAATTTCTGGGCCCTAGCTATTTTTTTTTTTGATCGAGAGGAGTAATGAAATTTATTATCCAACTGCACAAAGTAGGGAACAAATAATGCGAGTGCAAATATCCCGCGATATTGTACAGTTATTTCGACAATTAATTATTTCCCACCGTAAAAAAACCTGTTTGACAAGTTGGCTACACGTGCCTTCTCTTGTACCGTATTTAACAACTGTTCCATGTTTGTTAGTTAAGAGCCTTCAGCTCCTCAAGTACCGGCAGCGATTAATTCAAAGCGTCGTCGCTTTGTGATCGAGTCGGATGATGAAAATGAAATGTAGTTTTGGAAATTATTTTCATATGCAAAGGGCACATCCATGTCTTTAAGAGCTTGTCTCCTGGCAGATTCAAAGCTTTGTTACTGGCGATAAATTATGAATCACTTTTCATTGATAAATGTACACTTTCATACTTGCAGCAAATGCGTACAATTTGAGAACAACAATCGAAAATAAAATTCAACTTTTAATCGTTTTGAAACCTTATGTGACAAGTTGACGGCTCAACTCGTAAAAATACTCAGCGATCTACACACCTAAACGTCTAGTAAGAAAGTTGTTAGAGGGTAGAAGTACAGCTAGAAATTATCTTTGATGAAAATATTTCTTGTCCTCAGTTCCTCTTGGTTCCATTCTTGAATTTCCAGCGGAAACATGTGAAGAGATAAACGCCAGCGAAGATGGAAAAGCGAAAAGTGGCGAGTACTGGATTTATTCCGTTATAACGGGAAAAACTGCTCTGGTTTCTTGCGATATGGAACCAGAAGGTAAAAATATTCAAGTTCTTGTTGTTGCGGCTGATATGAATGTGAAAAAGTTTGTTTAAAAATTTATAGTTCTGGTAATTTAGATATAAAGGTAATGACAATAATATACACTTTTTGTTGCCTTTCAATGAAAACCTTAAAGCAACCATCATAAATAGTAGTAGCCTTACCCTCATCATTTCCCATTTGCACATATTTGTATTTATTGAGTAAAAAAAGTTATGTGTACTCTAGGATTCGGTAGACTTTCAAGGGCCAAATTCTTTTTATCATTACGGCTCGACCAAGGAACTTTAGCAAGTGATTAATTGCAAAGCATTCAGACCAAACTAGCATATGAATATGCAACTTTTGCAGGCAAATGTGTGTGTTTGATGATCGTTACCATCTTAACCGACTACCATACATACCAAAAAAAAAACAAAAAAGCATAAAATCGACTCATGTATGTGGCCTGCAACATTTCTAGCGCGGCACTAATTATTCCTGTCCTACATTGTATGTGATATTTGTATCAACCTGCTAATCTATATCAACAGATATTGACGAATGTGCCAGCGGTGTTCACAATTGCCACAGTTCAGCTTCATGTACCAACACTGTAGGATCGTTCAAGTGCTCATGTAACCAGCCCTACATAGGGGATGGAAAATCTTGCATTCCTCTCCCATCAGGTACAAAGTTGAGTCGGGTCTTCCACTGTTGCTGCTTTTGTAACTATGCTTTCACGCAGGCATCCGGCTTTACGTAGATACAAGCAACAGTGGGGTAATAAACTAATTACTCAGATAGTAATCAAGCAACTAGCAACTTACTTTTTTTGCTTCATTTTTGCGCTCAAGGAATTTTGTTCCTTCATATCTTTGGATTTCAAGTGACGTTATGAAAATCGAAAATCCAAAATAATTAACAATAATCCACTTAAGTGGAGGAGAGTAGTCGTGGATATTTATCGAGCCGTCAAGCGCCGAGGTAAATATCCACCACTTTAATCGACAGTGGTAATGAAGAATGTTTGAATGTCAGACAATATAACGAAGATTGGTTGAAAATTAGATTTAACTTAAAAGAACTTGCAAATCACTTCCGAACCAGCCAATCAGCGCACGCGAAAAGCACCATTCACTCAGGTGTTTTATACTAACAAGGGCAGCAACTCCTTGGTGTTCGACGGAAGGGCACCTACTTGGCATCCCCATACTGAGTTCTTAAAATTTAGGTCATAAATCATCAGCGGAAAACCTGCAGATCTGATACTTTAGCAGATTGTTTTATTTATGATTGTTTGTTTATTGATAATGTACAGTAGCTCACTCTCCTGCGGGTGGGGCGTCTAGTATGTAGTTTTGCTTTTAGTTTTCAATTGGATGACAGTGAAAACCATCAACAGTAAAATCCTAGGCAACAACAGGGAGAGGATAGCGGATGACTCAAAAAGTAATCATGCAACGAACACTGCCGAAACTTTTTTTTTTATTTTTTTGCGCGGAATGTTTGAGACGGTTCCTTGCGCTGAAGATCTTCCGCCTTAATTCCAGAGGAAATTATATATGCTTGTAACAACAAACGAGGAAAGTCAAAACAAGAAAAACCATGACTACTTGAATTGAATTCATGTTGTGACTCTTTGATGTGATTATGCGGCCGTAAAACTATTTCGTAACTGACTTCATTTGTTTGGTCATGATGGCTAGATATTGGCTGCGTTTTTATCGCGTTTTTTCCTGGAGTCAAAAACGTAAAGATTAATACACTAGGAGATTTTAATCTCTTAACTACACTAATAAGTAGCGCAGAGGTCATATATTCTATATAAATCAAATACCAAGGGTTTTACTTGGTTTGTTTCGATTCTTGGACCTACGTCAATCATTTCTACTCTGTCCATTTTAGAGTGTCAAAACTATCAAAGTCTGACTGGGTCAGACAGAAAGATAACCTATGGCAATCAAAACACGGTTTGTGACAGGGGTATTCATGGTTGGTATCGCTTTGAAGGAGCAGCAGGTACAAGAATGCCTACTTCATGTCCACCAAAACAGCGATGTAACACTCACGCATCCGGTTGGCTAAATGGTGCTCATCCCACAGTGGCTGATGGTCAGGTCACCAGGACAGTTTGCTTCCACTGGGGGTCAAACTGCTGCAACTGGTCAAGATCTGTCAACTTGATAAACTGCGGCGATTACTATGTTTACTACATAACTGGCACACCCGCATGTTCCCTCCGCTACTGCAGCACAGACTAAATCGATGCTGGTTCAGAAAATTATCAATTGCTTGAGTCGTCTTTTGAACAATGTTAACTGTGATTTATATGAATTTTACTTTAGTGATATCAGATAGTGTGTTGTGATTGGTCACAAATAATAATGATAATCATGATAAATTAAAAATTAAAAAATTAAGAAGAAGAAGTAACATTAACTAAGGGACTTGTCATTATTTATAGCCTGGTTGGTAGAGAATTTTGGAAGATCACAAGGTTTCTCAGTGGGGGACAGAGGGGAATCGGTCTTCCCCGACAGAAAATGACGGCAGAAGACTATAGAGAATTGAATGTCAGTGAACTGGCAATTACAGCGGAAGGGTGGGGATTATAAAAATGTACAGAACTGCACGGAGGGGTTGCAGGTAATCGTGACTCCAGCAAAGTCCTCCACCAGCAAAGCCCTTCACCCCTGCACCCGCCCCCTACCCCCGACAGATGATAAATAATGACAAGTCCCTTAAGTGTGGCTGTTTGTAAAAGTTCTCCGGTAATCCTGATGATGAAGCAGGTCAATGTGTAATGGTTCTCCATACATATTTTTTTCGCGTATTTCATGATGAAGCATTTTACCAAGCTGAGGGCTAATGATGATTTTCAAGGGGTGAGTTTCACATGAAATCACAAGAAACTTTCGTCTAAATAATTGCACGAATTGGTACCCTGTGTTTTTGGTGGCAAAGGGTCTTCCAAATCACTTGCACTGTTTACTAATTGAAATAAACAAAAAAAAAATACTCGCCAAATGCATCCGAGAATATCCACTCTTAAGTTACCTTGACCAAATAAAACTGGGTTAGAATACCCAATTATCTTGATTCAAAGTTATCATTTCGAAAACTCAAAATGTCAAAGGCAGCTTAATTAGAAACCTTTAAACTCAGTGTTTTTTTCAGTCATACTCGTGGTTTTTGTTTTGACTGCTACAAATAGGAGTCTTAAACATGTTTTTTTTTCCTTTTTCATAGATTTAATTTCATTTTTAGGTCAAAAACCTAAAAACAAAAGCAAAAAAACCGCATGGGACATATTGTGTTGAACGAAAACGAAAACTCTATGTAAATTATAGGAGGGCCGAATTCGACGAACCTCCCATTTAAATCAAACTCTTTTAATTTTCTTCCATCGTCCGGACGGGTTTATGACGTTACAGACAGAAAATGATGTGCCACGATTTACCTAAGCAATTTTTCGGCATAAGGTTACTCCGACACCTCCATGGGAAATTACGCACGCCCTGATTAGGAGGTTAATTGCTGCGAAAGATTTGATATAAATTTTTCATTCAAGATGGCTTTATTAAGGCAGGGAAAACTGTAACCTTCACGATTTTTAGGTAGGAGTAAATCGAAAATTGAAATTTTATTCTTCTGACAATTGATTGCAAAAAAAAAAGGTTCAGCTGCTTTACCAAACTTCAACGTTTGAAAAATGCCCTTTGAACATTCGTCTGTATTAATTGCAGTAGCTTTAGATGGAATGGGCCGGCACTTGTGGCTGAGTTGCAAAGGAGAAACGCTGATTAAAGGCGTCACGTTAATTGGAAGTTTTCAAAACACTTAAAACTGACAAAAAAAGGAGAATATACTACAAAAAAAAAAAAAACCGTGAAAATGCGGGCATTCAAAGTGGGTTTCATTTACAAAAGCTAAGAGCTTTCTGTAGATATACTTATTTGCTATTTTTCCAGGACGGAGGAAATTTTAAAAACTGCTCAAAATCTCAGGAAAATGCAGTTTATGTTCTAGTCGAGCATTTTACAATAAAGTAATTTCCTAAGTCATTAATTTGCAGGATTATTTGGGTGAACAGTACTCAATTGTAAATTTCATTATGAAAGCCTCTTATTAGATAATAACTAATCTACTGTGTGTTATAAGATACTGAAGTTGATTTGACTTGACCTGAATACCGTAGCTTTTCCTTCAAAGTCAATGGGATTCTGTACATCAATAATATTGGGAACAGGCCCTTACAATTTTATCTTCTCATTTTAATCGATAGAGAACGAAGTTATATCGTCTAAATAATTCTGCCTCAACGATGTGTTTAGGACCTGCTGATTAACACGTCTTCCTTGCAAAATACTCTTAATTTGTTATGCTGAACGTTGTCTGTATGTTAAAATCCTTGACACCTTTAAAACTGTAAAACATAAAGTCTGACAATTCAAACCACTGTTTGTATAACACAAAAGAAGTTAGGATTTACTTAATTTACTCCAAGGTATTAACGAATTGATAAATATAAAACACACAGGTATGTTCCAGTGGATTGATTCCCTGAACGAAGTTATAAACTTGAGCTTTTATCAGAAGGATGATCTAATCTCTGTAAGAAAGGAAAAAATGTATGTATAGGAAATGTAAGGATCAGGTCAGATATTTTGAAAACTTAATGTGCAGATATCACACTTAAGGACTCATGTTACGCTATATTTTCATAGGTGGTAGTACATGGACGATCTTTGTTGGTGGAATGATTAGCCTCGTTAATTCTTTCTCTGTTTAAACGTTAAATTTTCTCAGTTTATGTTTATATTTTCAGGGCCATTTTGATGAATATTTAAACATGTGTAAACAAGCATAAATAGATAAATTTGTAAGATTATACACTTAGCTGGTTGTACAACGCACTAAACTATACATTCAAATCGCAATTTCATGAATCATTTGCTGTCCTGTCTTTTTTTCGTTAATCTCAGGTGCATAATTGACAAAAATCGACAAAAAATTACCGTAATTTCTTACTGAAATTATACCGCTTTCTTCAACCCAAATTAATCACAGTATTTATTTTTTTCAAAATTTCTCTTAGAGGAGAGACGAACCAGTGGTAACGACGATGCGGTTCTGTATTGTAATTGCAGTGTGCTACTTTAATGAAATTTTTACTCAAGAATGCAAAAAGGATGAGCATGCCATTTTGGGCATGATGCTTAGAAGACACACCTTCAAAACTATGAAATCATCGATTGCGGCTGAATGTAATCAGGCGTGTAACGATGATTTCCGATGTCACAGCTTCAACTACGTCATTTCTAAGGAACTATGTGAACTAAATAACCGGACTAAGGAGGCCAGACCAGAGAACTTTGTGCCAAATTCTGCGAGATATTATGTTAAGAGTAATAAGGAAAGAGGTCAGTTTAACCATAGAAAACCCTCATCAATGAAGTGAAACCCATCTGAACAATAGTGGCTAGTCTTACTAGAAAAGTAAGACCATAGGTGAATGACATAAATTGGTCTAAATTTATACTTTGAAGTTATTCCCACATTTAAGTCAGAAGGCAATTTCAAACCCGAAAGCCTTTTTCCATCGAGAACCATAGTAAACAAAAGTGAATATTTTTTTTTCTTTCACTTGCGCACTGTAATAAGACGGAAACCCGCAATGAAGTTCATGACGTCAAAACTTGCCTTCTCTCCAGTACATGTATAGATTTAGTTTTATTTTTAGTGGGCAAATGGAATTAGAATTACTTTCTGAAGAAAATGTTTTTCGACCTCAGTTCGTCTTGGTTCCATTCCGGAATTTCCAGCGGATACATGTGAGGAGATACAACGAAGCGAAGAGGGAGAAGCGACCAGCGGCGAGTACTGGCTTTACTCCATCACAACGGGAAAAACTGTTCTTGTTTCTTGCAATATGGAAAGAAAGGGTGACAAAACTGAAGTTTTTTTTGTTCTTGTAATTGATGTGGATGTGAAAATTTTAATTCTTGTGATTTACAGGTAGAGTAATTGATTTGTTGTGCACTGTTTGTCTCGTTTCGATGAAATCCTTGTCACAACCGTCAAATATAGCGGTAAATGTCATGTTGTTTTCTCATTTGTCCACGTCTGTATTACATCAGTTATAAAATTTGGGAACACCTTAACCAAAGTAAGGATACGGTAGACCTTCGGAGGCCAACTTTCTTTTTTTTTTTTTTGCACTTATTATTCAGCCCGTCAAGTGTTCATGGCCAACTAGAACCTGTCAACACGAATTAGAGATACTTTTTGCGGCGAAACATCTTATAAACGGCAGCTTTTCAATTTCAGTCGCATAAATATTTCCTGATTTCGATCAGCACGTGCAGATCAGCACGTGCAGATCAGCACGTGCAGATCTCTGCAATCGGTTTGGGTGTAAAACTGGACGAAAGTCCAAGAAAGATAGCTTGGCAGAGAAGAAATTCGACACAAAAAGGCGAAAATAGGCCTCTGAAACAAACAAAGGTTCGTGGTTTGAGGAATTTTGGCTGATGGCACTCGATCGAAAAGTTTTACCGCGGCTGCTCGAGCCGTGTGAGACTTGAAATTGCCCATAAGCAGACTTCAACAAGATCTTTCAGTTGCAACTTGTAGGTGGTGTTCTACGAAACATATTTTTGCAAATGTCTCCTGGGCCTTCGCAGGTTGCCCCTGTACTTCTATTGGGGGTCGGCATTTCTAGTGGTCAGGGTGTTCAAGTTGTTTAGCATATGGTCACCTAAAGAAGTGAAAGGCATTAATTACAAATATTGAAAAAAAAAAAAACAGAAAGCAAACAAAGATTCTCCGTTTTTATACAAGTGTGTGCATTTTCAATAAATTTTTCAAGCGTTAAAATGTCACCGATTGCCTTGAAATGTTTTAAACTTCGATTTCTCGGTGATGAGATACGTTGTAGCTGTAAGGATTTTTAGATTTCATATTAGATTTAGATTGCATATTTGTGCCCCTCGCAGACAAACAGGCACCGGCAAAGAAGGACTTATTACCTGACCATCTTGCTGTTTGCAACCAGTTAATGTCAATTTATACTTTTCATGGATGGTATATTTGCTTATATTCGACAGATATTGCATTAATTGCACAATCTAATTCTTTTAACCATATTTTTATACAGAGGTTAATTTTACGGTGAGTGGGAGAAAAGGACGCTTTGGCACTGTACAGACGTTTACAATTCCACGGACCACCCGCTATCTCATCAAAGCCTGGGGCGCTC